TAGAAGCGGCTCCCGCTGCCCAGACATGCTGTCTCTCGTAGAAGTAAGGGACAGGAGCGCAGTGTCGTGTGCCCTGCACCTGCGTGCTCTCCCAACAGCTGGCACGCAGGCAGTGAAGAAAAGACACTGGTGGGAGCCTGGGAAGAGATTAAAGATGGATCCCTCCTGTTTTCTCTTCAGCCTGGTCTCTCTTCTGCCTCTCCTCTCTGGATGCAAGCCCCGTGGTATTCTGCCCTCCCCTCCCTAACCAGGACTCGCGGGTGGGACCGGATGGTGAGCTGATCTTTAATCCCTCTGTTCACATAATCACCATACTCTCAAGATAGAAAAACGCTGAACCAGCAATGCTTGGACTGAGGAAATCAGGTCAATGACAGCTCTACTTCCACGTGACTGGGACCCATCTCCAGAGTTTTAGGGACTCTTCCCTCAACTTAGGGAACTCCACGGACAGTCTAACTGCTCCTGTTACCTACCAGTGCCCTCTCCAGCGCCCACTGCCCCAGGTGCCCTCTTAAAATATCTGCTGGTGTCCTCAGTTCAAGAGACACTACTCTCTGGAAACAGTGTCCATTCCCATAGCAGTACTTTCTTTCTACACGCCGGAAGCAAATCCGCAAGGGAAATACACCTACCATTCAGGGATTTCTCCTAGGACCTCTGAAAGATGTCATTTAGTCACGAAAAGGGACTGCTGTCCTAATTCTCCAAGACCAGGTCTTCTTCAGCAGATGTGAAATTCTGAAGCTGAGACCAGAATTCTGAATGAGCATCACGGCGACAAAGGCCTGGGGAATCTTTCCAGAGTCTCCTGAAACACAAGCTGAGGACATATTCTAATTCTGCTCCTTATAATGTTAGCACTAAAAAGGACAGGGCATGCAAACACCAGAAATCATCTTTGAATCAAGTCTACGAGAATAGGTACGTTTCAATTATTCATTCGACTGTCGAATAGCTAAGGTTATCAATGAAAAAAAGAGATATTTGGTCATATCTTTCCTAAAGGGTAAATATCCATAATTTCTTTCATTTCTTAGTTTCCATGCTCCCAATCCATTTGGAAACCAGTTAATGGTGCCATTTCCCACAACTTCAATATGCCATTTCACAATTTGATCAGGAAGAAATTGTCAGTCTGGCAAAATATTCTAAATATACTCATTTTTGATAGGTACGAAACATGTCAGACATGGGTCTTTACATCTATTGTACATATATTTTTAACTGAATCTTTTTCATTGTGTAAAGAGTCACTATTTCGTTCATGTTCCCTTTCATAACATACTCAATGCTGTAGATATCCAGGACATCTAATGATATGCAGAATTCTATAGCAAATAATCTGCAACTACAGTCTCGTTAACATATGGCTTTTGTTTTTTGGTGATGGGTTAGGGGTCTGTATTGTCCGAGCTTCCAGTTTCCTGTTGTCCTGCAGGACCCTACATTTTTCCAGGTTGCTTCTTTTCTCATCATTCAGTATCCAAAGAATGCCTCCCCTTCCCTATTTTCTTCCTTTCCCTCAGAAATGAAGCCTTTCCAAGACTGTTACCTTGGGCCCCTCACGCTTTTGTGTCCCTTTCCTGTTGTCGAAGCTTCTACCCACATGAACTCTCTTACAGAACCTTCACATGGAATGTGGGCTTTCTCTTTCTGGGCACAGTTCCATCCATCCTTGGGCCTTCCGTGGCCCTTTTCTCTTTTCTGTACTACTTTTCCGGACTCGCTAATTGTCCACAAAGCTTTGTAGCAGGAGTTCAGTAAATAGCTCTGCTAAAGTTTGATGTTTAGTTTTCTACCTAACAGGAAGATGTGGGTTTTATGTGCTCTTTTCCTTGATCTCTGCACTTTCCTTGGAGTCCACAGCCACCGTTCCATTGCCATTTCTGTCTGCACAGGAACCGAGGCTGGAGCGCATGCTCTCCCTTTCCCTGTCTGTGGTCCCTACTGTACTTGAGGCCACCTTGGTGCCAGGTCCTTTCTCAGCCCCAGCCAGAGACTGTAAGCAAGAGACGATATTTTATTTTGATCATGTTCAAGGCCGCTTACTGCTTTGATATATATATAGGCCAGAACACAAAAACTCTGCTACGATGGGTCAAGCATTATGGAGGGTTTTTTGGTCCTTTGCGCTGCCAAGGAAGAGATTTTTCAGCTTTCCTTATAGCTTTCATTAGCCAGGTGACTGAATTCTACATGGTGAAGACAGAAGCCTCTTGGCTGGAGGGAGGGAGGAAGATAATTCTGGAAAAACTTTTATTTCTAAATCAAAGGTATATCTGTAGCTCATACTGTACCTTCCCCGTTTTTGTCCTCCTTGGAACATGAATGTGATATGTGGAGCTGGGCAGCCATTTGCAGCCATGAGGTAAAGGGCGAGAATTGTAAACGCATTCTTCCTGACACTGTAGAGCTATTGAACCAATGCCAACAGTTGCCTACTTCTCTTTTATTTTTCTATGGACAAAAAAATAACCCTCTTTTTGTGGAAGCCACTAACAGAAATTTGTGATCTTCAAACATTTTTCTCAACTAAACCTACAGAATACTTCTAGGAGAATAAATTTTTAATTGACATGTAAAATTTTTCATCATGAGTGTAAATAATTAAGTAGGCTGTCATTTCTGGTGATTGTAATTATGTGGTTTAAAAATGAACAGTTACATCACTCTGTTAAATTTATGCAGTGGCTTGTAAATACCTCAGGAGGTTGATATCATCATTCAATGGCCCAAAGATGTCAAATTGGCGGCAAATGTGAAAATTGTGGACTGGATCCCTCAGAATGACCTTCTGGGTAAGCGCATCCTTCCTCTGCAAGCAGCAGCCATGTCTGCTAATACTAGCATGTGTCTCGTTTTCCTGTCGCTGTTAACCAGGCGTGGGTAAGATGTAACATTAGTATTAATAATGACCAGTACCACTTAGTCATGCCCAACATGTGCCAGGCACTTTAACAGAATTCTTAAAAACATCTCATCCAATCTCCTCAACAATCCTGAGTGCTAAGGTTATTTTTCTTTTATACCCCCACAAACTGAGGCTCAGAGAAGACTAGTCACTTGTTTGAAGGAATATACCAAATAAATGACAGAATCAGAATTCGATTTGAGCTGTGTCTAACCCTAAAGCCTGAGTCTTTCTACTACACAACACCAAAATAGACCAACGTTTAGGGAGAATGATGATTCTCATATATTTCTCTTAGAATATTCATAGGCTGAATTCATTATACAAATATCTTTCATTTTGTTGGTTCAGTTAGGGACACAGCACAGACTATGGAGGGAAGAGTAAAAAAAGAATGGTGCCCTCACATTCAATCTTATATTCTCGAATATGTAGTCTGCATAAAAGCGGTTTGAGTGTTGTTAAAAATGTAAATTAACAGGATACATATCTGAAGATTCTGATTCAGTAGGTCTAGGGTGAGGTTAGAATCTATATTTTTAACAAGCATCCCAAGAGAACCTGGCAAAGATGGGCTAAGGACCACACCTTGAGGAAGACTAATGCAGAACATGACCTGCATAATCCTGAAGCACCAGTGAGGCAGGGTATAACTCACCGGAGCTATATATATTCCAAGGTTGGGCTGGGAGATACTCCGACAACAAAGCAGCATATATAACTGATGAGATATCTGAAGCACAACCAACTGTTTTAGAGTTCCCTATTCCCATATATCACTTTGTTTCTGTAAGGAATAAAATATTTGGTTGTCAGAAATATTCCTCCTACTATAGCTCTGGACCCAGGATCAGGCATGACCCTCTCAAACCTTCCCTGGTATTTTTCTAAGCCAGTGGTTCTCAAACTCGGCTAAAAATTAGAATCATCTAGAGAACTTTTTAATAATCTCAATGCGCAGGCTGCACCACAGACCAATTAAATTAGTATCTGGGAGTGCGCCCCTAGCATTGATATTTTTTAAAAGCTCCACAAGTGATTCTAATGTGCAGCCAATAAGAACCACTTAGTGAAACCTGCAAAGCAGACATTGTAAGTTGGTTGTTGGCTGAGTTCAAACGAGAGGTTGTAGTATTGGGGTTGGGTATGGCTTCTGGAGGCTGAGGTTGAGAAGATGGAACATAAGCTCTGTATTTAATAAAGCTATAGGGCTTGGAAAGTAGCAATTAGTTAGAAAAGAAGACAAGATGAGATTTGGGTTTCTCACTATCCCCACCCATTTCATAACTGAAGCAATCATTTAGGAGGCAAGTACTATGGACCAGGCACTTGGTACTGTGTCTTAGAGAAATCAGAAGACGAAAGGACAAATGAATATTTACTATGACTTTTTTAAATCCTAGACCCCTAACTTCATCCAAGCACAAACATTAACCCAAGATGGATCAGAGACTTAAATGTAAAATCTGAAACTATAAAGTCTATAGAAAAGTAAAGCAGAGGAGAATATCTTGATCACCTGGAAACAGACAAAGATTTCTTATATCATAAAAGAAAAAAATTGATAAACTAGGCTTCATCGAACATAAATGCTTCCGTTCAGCAAAAGACAATAGCAAGAAATTGAATAGACAACCTGCAGATTGGGAACCATATTCACAGTGCATATATCTGATAAAAGATCTTTATATGGAACATCTTTATCCAAGAAATTATGCAAATCTGCAATAAAAAAGACAAACTAACTAACAATGAGATAAAGATCAACAGACACTTCATAAAAGAAGATGTAAGAATGGCTATTAACACATGAAAAAATGTTTAACATCATTGAATATCAGGGAAATAAAAATTGAAACTGGAGCTTCCATTTCACACTCGCCAGAAAAGCTAAAATTGAGACTGACAACATCCAGTGTTGGAAAGGACATGGAGTAACTGAAACTCTAGGGTGTTGCTAAGGGCAGTAAAAAATTATACAATCACCTTGGAACACTGCTTAGCAATTTCTTTAAAAGATAAACTTACGTTGACCCTGTGTCTGAATAATTGCTATCTCTGCACTAAATGCACCATCCTGAGGATGTTTCCTCACGTCCAAATGGAGCGCTAAAGTTTTATTTGAGGTATTAATTAAACCTCCAATATAAACTGTGTTAGGAAGCAGGGGACGGGCAAAATCAAGGGCAAAGTCAGAATTAATAATCCACAGCTCTGCTTTCAATTGAAGATGAGCTAACACTGGCCTTCACTCGGTTCCAAAGATCCATGTATCTGTGAGGGAGGAGTAGAATGCTGGAACATAAGACACAGCCTCAGGCAGCCCAAAATTCATAACTCCAAATGGGATGGGACGGATGGTCACAAACGGCCTTCCAAGTGTCTCAGCTATCAGGAAAGGACAGCGATCTATGCCGTCAATCTTCACTAGGTCGAAACTCTCCTTCTTTAAGAGGCCCATGATAGCTGTACTTCTTAACAAATGACTACAATGAGTTGCATATAGCTCCATTATCTTCAAATGGTTTGTAAATGAGTTTCTGTAAAAAAAAAAAAAGTGAGAGATATTTAATATTCACAGGAAGTGTTCATCTGAAAACACACACAAGAATCTTAGCACGAGAAGAAAAAGCACTTCTGGCAGCAACCAGCCTATTGTGTTACTCTTGCCTGAGACCCTTCTGTTTCACATACTGGTGTTTTTATTACCTCTAACTCCACCATGCAATTTCCTGTTTTTGTCTTCACTATAATTCTTTTTGATGCTCAGAAGGTTCTTGCTTTCTTCCCTCTTTCTTTCTTCCCCGTATCCTACACATCTTTCAATGCCCATCCTACTCTGGGAGATGTTTACAGCTATGGCTGGTGTCTCTGATCTCTCTCTACTGGCTGAATGCTGAAGCTCATTTATGATGCTCTGTATGACCTTCAATTATACTCTGCTCTCAAATGTATCCATGTGTACGACATGTTTTCCTGTGTATGTAACCATTTATGACAGGGTCCTGTGAACACAAATGGAGGACAGCATTTTCCACTGGACGAACCACTCTAAAAGCTGTGTTCCTGTGACATTCGCCGGTCTTTTTCTTTCAACTATTGAGCCAACGAATGTCTTCATACTCGATGGCAGCGAATCCTTAAAAAAGGCCATGGCTGCCTGGGGCTCCCTCTTAAAGTCCAGTGAGTAAGGACTTCATACTTTTCCCCACCCTTAGGGCTTCTTCTATGATACAGATTTATAAAACCCTGCTGAGGATTAATGTCCTGTATCGGCTTTTACTTAAGGTTTTACTTCATTTTATTGGGAATTTATTTGCTTTCCTTTTAATTGTGTTTAAATATTTGCTACTGTTTATATAGCACTTGACAAATACCCCAGCTGAGGGATTCTATACTGACGATTTCAGGACCCAGGGTACTGGCGGAAAAGCAATATTCCCACTTCCCCTGGACAGGAACTAGGCAGTCAATTCATGAACTGAATGACGCAATCAGCTGTATAATTACCTTCTGCTAAAGTGAAGGCCTGACACAGAGAGAACTCTGAGGAGAGCCCTGCCCTGTGCCCTCTGGCGGTGATGTGAGGGAGAGGAGACAGAGACATGACGTGTGTGTGTGTGTGTGTGTGTGTGTGTGTGTGTGTGTGTGTTGGGAGGGGCAAGGTCTCTACTCCAATTTCTGGGGAGCTTTAGAATTACATCTATGCCTGGACTTCACCATAAGTAATTTACATAGGACATTCTGAAGGTGAGACACAGACATGAGCATTCTTTTAAAGTCCCTTAGCTGATTATAATGTACAGGCAGGGTTGAGAATTACTGTTTTGGAGGGAGAGAGAAGGCAAAAATGCATTTACCCTAATGTAAGAGAACAGGGTATACCACCAGTCACATATTTTTAAATGGTTCAACTATATTTAAAACTGGTTCAGGAGAAATAAGATAGAATGAACTAGTGTTGGGACAAAAGTTGTTAAAATTCTGTTTCAGTAAAGAAATTTTTTTCTGTGAGGATAATTGCTGATAATTATTGGGGACCGGAGAGAGGAAGTTGTTTTGTCATCTCAGTAGTGTGAGGGCAGGGCATGCTTCTTCCAAAAGGACATGTGATTAAGAGGAGAAGATAAATGTGATCAAATGTGCAGTCAGTTTAGGCTATCGTATGTTTGATGAGGGTGCTCTGATTGGATCATTGGGGAAAACAAAACAAAACAAAACAAAACAAAACAAAACAAAAAACCACACACCAGATAGGTAGCTTAAGCCAGAAAGAGACTAGTCTAAGGAGGCATCTTGAATTCAATGCTCAAATCAGGGTAATTTTTCTAATTATATCTGGGATAGCAAGAAAGGTTTCGATAATAGTAAAAATCTGGTCAAGAAAAATGTGACTTATACTTTAATCTAGTATTTTAATAAATCTTGATCTTTAAATAGTACAATAAATGTTTACTTGTTGGCTACTATGTGCTCCACACTATAATAGATTCTGTCGATTTAGTAATGAGCAAGAAAATTATGACCTTTGTCCTCATGAAGCTTATAGTTTGACAGGGAAAGCATATGTTGAACAAATCATTACAAATAATTAATTAAACATTAATGAGTTTTCTAAGTACTTCAAAAGAAAGAACTAGGCATTATGAAAGTGCAGAAACAACCTAATTAGTCTAGCAGTAATTAGTCTGTGCGCTATACCAATTTAATATAAATCAGTGGGGATTTTTTAAATTGAGCTTTAAAAAACTTTTAAAGTAACATATGGGATAGTTTTGAGACATTCAGGCATACATTATAAATTTTTGGAAATTAGCACATGAAAATAGAAACATTAACTTAACGTGGGGGAAGAGAAAAGACTGGCAGAAACACAGTGCTGGGCCTTGTGGAACGTACTCTAAAAGTGTATGTTCCCTGCTCAATCTAGTTAGAGGACAGAACAGAGGGAAGAGTTGGGCAGTAAGGGCGTTTGTTTTTTCAATCTCTTTCATTCTCCATCCATCTCTACTACCTGCATTGCCTAGCACTTATTAAGTCCCCGTTAAATTTTTTTAATGAAAAAGATAAAGCGCAAAACTAAATAATAAGTCAGTGGTATAGAAAGTTTAGAGGAAGAAATTAGGTAAATAGAACAGGTTTTATGGAGGAGGCAGTATTTAAGAAATGCCTTGACTGGTGAGTAGCAGCTTTATGCAGAAATGAGGGAAGAGCAAGGATATTCTAACTAATATAGACAGGTGTAATTTTCATTTCTATGACTTCCTGCTTAAGATGAGTAGTTCCTTGTTATTTTGAGTTTCAGATGAGTGGCATTTCTAGGAGCCTCGTGACTTACTCTCTGCGAGTCTGAGAGTGAGTCTTCAAGTTCTGTAATGGATTGAATCTTAAATGGCCAGATTCCAGTTCTGGAAAAACGAACTTTTGTAAGTGACCCAATATCAAAAAATTTATGAGAAGAGACAGGAACAGAAGGAAGTAAAATTGAGTTACTGTGACTTTATCCAACAATGAAATGATGAGTTGCCCATCACTGTCCCTGAGCTGGAGACATTAAAAGCAAAGAGAGAAGGTGAGGAGTCTTTTAAAATTTATATTTAGGGTGAGATTCCACCTGGTTTCTAATAATAATATCTACTTATTCAAGCTTGAATGCCAAACAGGCTGGGAATGTTAACCAGAATGCCACAGCCTCAAGACTGTCTAAATGATTGGTTCAAGAATGATTGACATATTGCTCATTCGTTCATATTTCTCAAATAATTGCTTTATTTTTATTTAAAAGAAAAAACAAAATCAAACAAAACAAAGTATTACCTCCCCAGCAAAGCTTCCTTCAAAAATAAATCAAAATTTTTCTTGAATTCCTGTTAACAGTTTTCAGGAGGAGACCAACTGATAATTTGGTATTTTTTTCTCCTTTTTAAAATCTAAGAAGAGACAGAAGAGAAAAATTAATTAAGCACTTACAGCTTATCATCTAGGGAAGGAAGGTCTAAACACTACTGTTCAGTATGGAAGCCATTAGCCATATGAGGCTAATGAGCACTTGAAATGTGGATAGTGTGAATTGTAAAATACACATCAGATTTAATAAAAGCAAATGTGAAACGAATTAATAATTTTTATATTGTTTACAGTTGAAATACTTTGGATATATTGGGTTAAATAAAACCTATTATTAAAATTAGTACGATGTTTCTTTTTATTTTTTAGTGTGGCTTCTAGAATAGTAACAATTACATTACGGGGCTTGCATTTGTGGCTCATGTTGTATTTCTGTTAGACAACACTAGTCCACAGAATAAGAAGATATGATATCCGATGTTGAAATAAGTTCATTCTGCTGAACTAGGGTCACATCACGCCCATGATCTTGAAGCATCTGAGATACCCTGTCCCTCAGTAAATAATGGCTTCCCCCTAGGAACAAGTTCAGTTTTGTGAGGTCCATGGAGAGAAAAGCCAGGGTGGATTGGGAAACAAGGAAGCCTCATCCAGGTAAGCTTCGGAATACCCCTGGCTAGATGGTGAGCAAAAGGAAAGCTTCGTCCCTCTCTTCCTTTCCTATTCTAGCAACTCTGCCCTGAATTCTCAGAGTCCTCATTCAAGTTAATTGCTGGCTCTCTGAGCCCTCATCTGTAGCAGCCCCCCTCTACAGTTTCCCTGCCTGGTGACCCACAGGATCCACGTCAGTGAGATAAGCTTCGGGGGGCTTAGAGCTTAAGGTATTCCTCTCCCTGGGAAATAGCCTACATTATAATGTGTCACATACCTTAATTATGCTCTTTAAAAAAAACTGCACAAGGTGGTATGCATGTGGCTTCTCATAGCAGACAGTCTAATCAGGGTTATCCCTGGGGTCCACTTCTTTGGAAATTTTTGCTACCGTGAAACCAGAAAGTGTCTAGAAAGTGACTCCAGGAGGCAATCTTGGAGAGGAGATGGAACTAACCCCCCTAACACTAGAAAGATCCTTTAAGTGTGAATATTTTTGCAGGAGGTACTTATTTTGAGCCTGAACTTGGCTCCACTTAGAAGTCAGGCACCTTGAGATACCTGTAGCTTGCGTCAAGACCCCTGGGGTGGGGATGAGAGGGTCTTGATTTGCTTTAAAGAATAAGATCTACAGAGACTTGATCGTAGGACTGTGGCTTAGGCAAACTGGGCGTTCTTTCTACCTTGCTCTCAGCTTCCTAGAAGCCCGGGTGCTTTCCCTAGGCGCAGCTTTCTGCAACCACGACCTGACAGCTCGGAGAGAGGAGGGGTCCTCTCTGCCCCGCAGGGAAGGAGCGCCTCTCATGTGCTGGCTCCGTGGCTGCTCCGAACACTCACCAACCAAGGACAAGGTCAGGAGTTTGGCACCTTTCGGGAGCAGTGGCCAGGACAGCAGGAAGACCAGAAGCAGCGCGGGCTGCCCAGCCACCCTCACTCGCGCTATGTTCCGCAGAGGGAGACGTGCGGCGCGCCCTGCACCGCGGGCCCGGACCTCTTACTCCTTTGGCCCAGCATAGCAATAGCTGCTGCAAACTCCTAACTAGCCAAGCACGGTGCCTGCCCCTGCCGGATCAGAGCAAGTTGTCTGGCCTGGCTTCTTTACCCCCTCCCTTTCTCGGCCCTATGGATTCCTGTTCTGCTAACCTGTCACCTTGGTCCTGCCAAGAAATCCAGGGCTGGAGTCTCTAAGGAAATCACATCGATGACATGCCCCGCCTTGAAGTGGGCATGTGACACTCTGAGCAGCGCTGGCCCGGAATACTAATTTTGGATAGGTCTGCCTTCGGAATTCCCATTTCCCCTTTTCTGGATTTTTCTCTCCACATTCGACTGCCCCATCGCCTTTCTAAATAATTCTAATAGTCACGCATACCTAAATCTACAACACACCTCATCCCTCCTTCCAGGGAAGAGACCTAGAGGTGGTGAGGTTTAAAAGGCATCACAAGGCTTCTCCCATTTAGTAGCCTAGTGAACACATCCATACCTATTACATGTAATCCAGTAGCACAGATCACTGCTGGATGATGATGGTAAATTCACCCATTTATTTACTGATTCAACACAAATTTATTGAGCACCTATTATGGGGTCAGGCATGGATAGTTCCACAAACATAACAAAAATCATTCCTCATGGAGCTTAAGTTTGAGTGAGAGATGAGCATTAGCATATATAGTATGTTAGGTAGTGCTAAATTCTAAGGAGAAAAAATTAAGCCAGGACAGGTGGCATCTCTGAGAAATGACTTCCAGATAAGGAAGAGGGTGAGCTTATCAAGCGGATGTTTGATATTTCTTAACGAGTATCTGCTGTGGGGCAGCATTATTCTTGGTGTTTTAAAGTTCATTACTTAATTACAATCTCACAGCTACCCTGAGGAATATTGTATTATAAGCCATTCTCCTAACTCCCCTCCCTCCACCTCCCCCACTTTTAACAAATATGAGTCTGAGATTCAGGTTTTCTGGGTGGTGTCTGACTTAACTAGGATTTAGGGTTCCCAAACAGCATATTAAGAGAATGCACTTTCTCAACAATTCTAATTTGTGTGTCTTTGGATCTTCCACATACATAACTATGTTATAATATATAAGAGCCTGTTTCCTTCTTTTTTCATCCTTAGGCCTTTTCTCTTGTCTTATGATTATAGAACATACAACACTGAATAGAAGTGGTGATGGAGGGCATCTTGCCTTGTTCTGGAGGTAAAGCTTGTACCATAAAGGATGATATTTGCAGTAGTTTTGGGTTCTTGTTTATATATGCACATGTCTACATATACTTATCCTTTATCAGAAAAACATGCTTGTTGTTAAAAAATAAACTTTTAAAAAATATAAACTAATGTTGAATTTTATCAAAATTTTTTTTGCATCAATTTGAGATGATCACATGATTTTACTTTTTTCAACTATTAGATTTACAGAAATTGATTTTTTTGGAAACCCTTTACATCTTGAAACATAAAAATTCAGAAAGTGCGTTAAATATAAATGTATAGTTAATAAGAAACATGCTTGTTAAAAACACCTGATTGAAGAAACAAAGCACTGACCTTACGAACCCAAAGCCTCTGAGTGCTACCACTGAATGTCCATCCCCATCTGACTTAAATGGTACTGTAAGTCTCACATGGCTTTCTGTTTAGTTTTACCAACTGCGTATGCATTTTAAAACAATAAAGTTTAGTTTGGGCTGTATTTGTTCTTGTTTTGAACTGACTGGATTTTCAAAAATCTTTCCATCCTTCCTCTACTTGAAACTATACCCCATTTCTGTTCTTTTAATGATTACCAAATTAGACAAAGTCTAGCTTAAGCAGTAATTTATTCCCCTTCGATGTTACCATGACCTTTGAGCACTACAATGTAGTCTCCTCTACTCCCAACTTATATGGTAAGTTATGTAATTTAATTCTCTATGTATTTTAACTTATGAAACAAAATATACGTATAACAAAGCACACACAAAAGCACGTACAACTCAGCAATGCATTACAAAGTGAACATCTGTAAACCACCACCTGAGAAAGAAAACACAGGTAGCAATCCAGAAGCTTCTCTTGTGCTTCATCCTGATCACTTTCCCTTCCTCCTCCTCAAAGGTAAGCAATAGCTTGACATGTAATCTCTTCCTTGATTTTTTAAAATAGGTTTACTACAGTGCATTCATTTTCTTAACTCTACAATTCAGTTTTGCTTGTTTTTGAACTTTATATAACTGGAATCACACTATATTATTTTTTTATTATACATGTTTTATCCATATTGTTGCATAGCTGTAATTAGTTCATTTTCATTTAGTCATTCATGTATTTATCTACCATGTTTGATAAGTAAATCCATTCTGTTAAACTGTTTCAGTTGAGGCTATTATGAATGATGCTATGAACATTTTTGTACATCTCTTGCTGCACATATACATACATTTGTGTGATATATATACCCATCGCCAAGTCCAAGTTCCCCTTGTTTTCATCTATGTTACCTTCTCAGAGTATTCTATTTCTTGTGTTCAAGTTTTAGATTTATGATCCATTTTGAGTTCATTTTTTGTGAAAGGTATAGTCTGTGTATAGGCTTATTCTTTTGTATGTGGTTGTCCAGTTGTTCCAACATCATTTATTGAAGACTTTTTTCTCCATTAAATTGCCTTTATTCCTTTGTTAAAGATCAATTGACTATATTTATATTGGTCTATTTCTGGGCTCTCTTCTGTTCCACTGATCTATTTGTCTATTCTTCCACCAGTCCTACTATGTCTTGATTACTGTAGCTTTATAGTAAGTCTTGAAGTTGGGTAGTGTCAGTCCTCTGACTTTATTCTTCTCCTTCAACATTGTGTTGGCTCTTCTGGGTCTTTTGCCTCTCCGTGTAAACTTCAGAATCGTTTTGTTAATATCCACAAAATAACTTACTGGGTTACAATGAATCTATAGATCAAAGTGGGAAGAACTGAGCAAAATGAAATCAAATATATTGGTCTTAAGTGCAAAAGTAAAAACAAACAAAAAACACAAAAAAAGGAAAAGAAAATTAACAGAACCCAAAATGTCAAGGCAGTTGTGAAGAGAACTTAGAGGGTTAATCTTTAAAACTATAAATCAAAGGTTGTTTTTGCTGATAGATAACTGGCAAGAAATAAGTACTTTTCTGCTGAATTTTCATACGAAAGCAGTTGCAAAACAAAATCTGATTAAAATAGAAAAAAAAAGTCTAGCATTCACGAGAAGGGATGTTGAGAAACACAATGCTCAAATGCTTATGTGTTGTTAAAGAAATAGTGCTATCTTATGCATTCAAGCTCTGTTAAATGCTCTTGGAAACTGGAGAAATGATTGTGAACCAGTTGCCAATGTGTGGAGCATGGAACGTATGCACAGGAATTTGGGATGTCAGAGTAGCAACACATCTTCGGGCATGCTTGAAGTTTAGATCCGACTGGGGAATATATGGTTCCCCTGAAACTCTTTGGTCTGTTCCCACTGGGGCCTTATGAGACACAAAATATGTTCATGTCCTTCCCTGGGGAACCTGGCCTGCTGTGTGATCCCCCGCCCACTCCCCGTTGGTGGCCCCTATCAGATGGACCCGCGGCCACTGCCAAAACCACTCGGTAGGGGCTGAGCAGGAGGTAGCAATGGGACCTGCTTGAGGAAGCAACTGTGTGTCAACAAAAGCAGAAATCGCTTAAAATATTAAAGTGGTTGAGAAAATACACATTCAGGATCTAAAAACTGACATCTTGACAATATTGAGTCTTCCTATCTGTGAACATGGACTCTCTCTCCATTTATTTAGCTCTTTGATTTCTTTCATCAGCATTTTGTGGTTGTCCTCATATAGATCTTGTATTTTTTTTGTTAAATTTATACCTCAGTTTTTCATTTTGGGGGGGTGTTAATGTAAATGGTATTGTGTTTTTAATTTCGAATTCCACTTGTCCACTGCTAGTATATGGGAAAATGATTGACTTTTGCATATTAATCTTGTATCTTACAAACTTGCTATAATCGCTTATTAATTTTAGGAATTTTTTCGGCGATTCTTTGGATTTTCTACATTAACAATTATGTCATGTGCAAACAAAGACAGTTTTATTCTTCCTTCCAAATCTTATACTTATACTTCCTTTTCTTGTCTATGGCATCAGCTAGGACTAATATAAATGGTGTTGTTTTTTATTTTGAATTTCAGTTGTTCTTTTGGAACAGTTGAATATAGGAAAGCAACTCTCTGTTTTCTTGGTCAGCCTGGCTAAAGTTTCATCAATTTTATTGATTTTTTCAAACATCCAGCTTTTGGTTTTGTTGATTTTCCTTATTGTTTTCCTGTTTGCAATTTCAGTGATTTCTGCTCTAATTTTTATAGCAATTGCTTATTTTAACTAAAACATAAGATCAATAGGGAACCTAAAGCTCATGTATTTAATTATCTTAAAGCATTTCTTTTATGTTATCTGTTAATAAATTTATAAGGAACAAAGAATGAGTTTAAGTTTAAACTCAAAGATGTATGACATAAATTGCATAAATAATGAGCAAAATTCTTAGTAACTTGTAGAAATGTACTTTATTTCATGCAAAGCTACATAATGTTCTATATTTTAATAGCTAATCAAATAAACATTTCAAAAAAAATTCATTACATCACAATAAATTAAAATACTACAGAGCAATTGCAAGCCCATGAGTTTGTCAAAACCAAAATTGAGAGAACACTATCGATAGCTAAGGCCAAAGATGCTAATTTACTTATAGGTGGCACTTTGCAGCTTTTTCCAAATACATATTTGAAAATGTTGTGAGAATCTGCAAAAACTGTTAAATCCACAACCCACTGACCAGATAAAAAAACACTTGTCATTACATATCAGAGAATAATGGCTGATTAAAGATAAATTGGCATCATGCACCAAAAATGAACATAATGAGCATTTTGAAAAATTATGATCGGATATGCATTTGAAAAGATTTATCTTCTATTTCACCCAATCTACTGAAATAGATCAATAGCACATACTTTATTAATGCAACACAGTAATTAGCCTTTTGGTATACTTTGCTTGGATACTGGTACATATAAAAAGATACCGAAGAGATGTAGGAATATTTCAAATTCACACTGGACTACTGAACTTTAAAATATTGCTCTAAGAAAATATTACTTAAAAGCAATACAATTAATTACTTACAAAAACATTGTATAAAAATTAAATACCAGGAAATTACAACATCAATATTAGAGCTTTTTCAATGCTATAATTTATAAATATATATTAGATTACAGTCATTTAAAAGACAGGCCCACAGATTCTCTACCTTCTAAAATGAGAAAAATCCTTCAAGCTGTTTTCAAAATATGGACAAAAACAAATCCATTGGATCACTTTTAAAAAATAAATAGTCTCTCCCCTACAACTTGGTGTACTAAATAGGGAAGATGTCAGCCAGCATTCTTTTGAGAAATACAGCTCTAAGTGACTAGGTTGATCAAATTTATGTCAATATTATCAACTCGAATGGTTTTGTATAGTCAGATGTAATTTGCTTTTGTTTCTACTCATACATTTTTATACAACATTAAAGAAGTGGACTTCTTTCTATTTGTATTTTTTTTTTCACATTAAACTTGTACGATTCTTAAAAAAAAAATTCATTTTACTGTCTATAAATTATGACTTTACGCTACATATATCTGCCATAGTAAACCACTCTTTTTTCTGTACTAAGTACAGTAAAAATCTCTTCTTGTAAAAATAACTTGGGATCATAAAAGAAAAGATTTTCAGGGGAAAAAGTTAATTCTCCCCAGGGAGTGGGTTAAAAACAAATGTCCTTTAAGATATCAACAAGAAGAGAAACATGCCAATATTCTTGCTTATTAACAAACTTAAATTACAAGAAGGCTTCCATCAACCTCAATGGACAAAATTTTAAAAATGAGAGTAAAACTTTCAAACACCAGGCTAAGCATGAAAGGAATTAGAAGTGAGGGCATGTGATCATTGCAGTGGGATTGGAGATAGGGCAAGGCTACTGGCTGCTCTGCTAGGAGAGATGGCTCACAGGGCCAGGTCCCTAGGAAGTGGGACAGGGAACAACACTGCCTGGTCTTCCAGGTCTCTAAGCAAGAAAAAGTCACTGAGCTGGAAAGAAGTACTCTACACAATGGGCCTTCCTATAACCCTCTTATTGTTGTTCCAATCTCTCCTAATAAAAATTTTAACAATGTGTATATTATTTATGAATTCCTTTTCATAAAACAAGGTCTCAAGTTTCTTAATGTTTTGTTTTTTAACAATCACTACTTTTAGAAATCCATTTTTATGCCAAAACATTATAGACAGTAATTCATTTTACTGAAGGGCCCTCCTTGGCGACATAAAAGACAACACATTGAGCAGCAGTATACATCACATTTACATTCAAATGTTGTTTAGTTGTCTAGCAAAATCTGTTTTACTATAGGTGCAATACTGCTATTCAGGTAGTGGGATTTGTAGTCAGAACTAGTTCCTTTTAAGTGTGCTGATCATCAAAAACAATTGTGCACTCAAACCAAACAGAAGAAAAATCTGGAAACACGTTAAAAGTCATACTATAAAGACAGACTTCAGAAAGGAAGGAAGGTAGAAAGGAATGAGGAAGGGAAAAAGAAAAGAAGGAAAGATAAACCTCTAAATCCATTTGCTTCCTAACATTTAGAATTTAATGTTTAGAATTCAAGTATGTTAAAATTTTTCAGGGACATATTTTGCCTTTTATTGTAAATATATTTTATCCTTGTGATTTTTCAAGCATGGTCCACTCAAATCACAAGTGTAAAACTCACATTACTGAACAGTGTGAATTATAATTATGGAAAGTTTCTTTATTATTATTATTATTATTATTATTTATGCCTATAGCACCTGGTCTTTCTAGGTGGCCTCCCATCCAAGTACTAACCAGGACTGACCCTACTTAGCTTCTGAGATCAGACATCAGGCTTGTTCAGGGTGTCATGGCCATAGAACATGGACCATGGCTCCACTGGGGCACAAACCCAGAACCTTCTGAATGTAAAGCAGACATGCTAACCACTACACTATGGAACCACATATGGAAAGTTTATTTTTTTTACTTTAAAATGGTAATCAACACACCATCAAGAACATTCTCTGAATCTGCTGAAGGTATAAAAAAGTAAGGTTTGCTACTGTACATAAAAGAAATCCCTTTATTAATATGCTAAAATATACTTAAGAAAACATACATTGCCTTTCCCATTCACACTTAATTTCATTTGGGTATGCAAAAGGTATAAATTTAAGAACTGATAATTAATTAAACAGTAGAGTCCAAAAACAATTTTTTTTCTTTTTGAAGGTCTGGATTGTCAAATTCTCTGATCTGTTCTATATAAACAGAAACCTCTTGAATGTTCTGATTTAGCTATTACCACTCTTGTGAAACGAGGGCCTCTTGTGTGATGAAATTATTCCGAAACCTTGGTATTCATATGGTAAGAGAACAAATTCTAATAATTAGCTTATACCTTGTTTCCTATCTTAATGATTTTTACAAAAATGCTCTATTGATAACTGATTTTTGATGTAGTAACAAAAATTAATTAGTAACTTACAGGTGATTCATGAAAATAATAAATTATTAATTATTACTTTCTGCAATGGTTATTTTGAATTATTGGCTTACTGAATATCCTTACCTAACAATTACTTAGAAAAATAACTTAGAAATTTTAATTGGATATTTATTATTATGTAAGAAAAAGACAACAAAAGCTAACTGCCAGAAGTAACTCTTCAGGAAATGTACTTTGTATGTAAAATGTATTAATTTAGTAGTAATGTTTTACAGTAGATGTCATTACATTTTAATAAGCTTCTCAAAAAACTTTTGTTCTTACTACAGTTTTTTATACAAGATGGGTTAATAAATAGTAACTTAGTTCTCCAGCAACAAACTCTTAGTCTTCAAGGATTAAATCATTACCTTATGAACTCAAATTTATCCAGCCAGGTAACCTTCCTATATGATCATATATAAAATCCTGTAAGATAAATGCTCCTTAAAAAGTTGAATACTCTGCATCACTTAAACAACCAAAAATTTTTTGGAAGTAACTCAAAAGTCATAAAGGGAATCTACTGTTTGTGAAGTATAATGCTTTGATTATTTTAATCATAAAAAATTTAATAATAAAGGAAAGTAGTACATTCCTTTACACATTCCTATCAATTTATTTTAGGGGATTATAATTTATAAAAGTAACTTGATAATTTCTTCTCTTTTCCTACTTCTATTTCTACAACAGCACGTGAGTTTCATGACAAAACCTGATGAGAAACAACATCATACTTAAGGAAAATATTCCAAAGTACATCCAAAGACTAAATAATAAAACAATACTATTTTCACAGGACTTTTGATGAATTATTCCCAAAAGAGTTTTTGCTTTGGGGACGTGTAAGATTCTCTGTAATAATAAGAAATAGACCCCTTTGTGGGGTGATCGTTTTCCCATCTAACATCTTCAAATAACTCTGGGAAAAACAGTACAGCTAACAACCAATTTTATTCTCTTTTTAAACTTCAGTATATAAACATCAACTCAATACCCTCACAATAGCTTTGTGAGGTAGATCGGTAAGTAAATAGCAAGTATCTTCATTTCGTAAATGAAGAAACTGAGGCACTAAAAGGTTACTTGATTTATCCATGGTATTCGATGGTCAATTATGAAGTAACATGCAGTATTAAATTATCTTTGTTCTTGGCCTATTGCTCTCTAACCACACCTCATAATAAAAGACTGTCCGTGTGTGTGTGTGTGTGTGTGTGTGTGTGTGTGTGTGTGTGTTCTCAAATGGACACTCTATATGACCTTCGATTAAGAGTAAAATCTATCCATTGATAATTATTGTAAAGGGGATCTAATTTCAAAAATCATAAAAATTGATAATTAGGATAATACACTATTACTTTCAGTATCTGAACAGAACTGTGTCTTTAAAAAATTTACATGGTAACACTAAAGAGGACAATCAAAAATTTTATATTACAATTCAGGGAAAGACTACCTTCGAGAAACATATAATCATATTGTTAGGGTGAATATATAATTCATCTTCAAACTGAGATACTTACGAGTGAATACCAGTAAAAATTACACGCTCAAGTATAATCACCGTTGGGTGAATCCATGGATCTTCTAAGACTTGCAAACATTTCAGAGAGACATAAAAAACTCCCTGCAAGCATGTTTTGCTCAACTATATTCGCTGTGTAATAAAACACTTGTGATTTAAAATGTAATATCCTAACTCTGGCTTAAACACAAAACTTAAAAAAATCAATTTAAAATAATCAGCATGTTTAACTAACAAGTTATTACATGTTTCCATTCTAATATCCATGCATATGTCCATTTATTGCGCTTCGCTTTACTGTGCCCCACAGATGTGAATGCTTTTTACAAACTGAAGGCAAGACCCTTTACTAGCAAAAAGATTATGACTCACTTTATTGTGATACTCACTTTATTGCGGTGGCCTGGCACCAAACCCGCAATATCTTCAAGGTATGCCTGCAGTTTTCTGTTATCTACAAACCACAATTTAAGTGTTAGTAATAACAGTAAATCGATTCACTTTTTACCTTTGAATAACTAGATGTTCCTTTTTAAAAAGCAGACAGACACTTTTAAAAATTAGAGAATTTTGTGGGACTCTTTGGTTATTCAAAAAAAAACAAAACATGATTCACCATTAATGTTCAAGCTTCTCCTTAAATGGAAAGATCAACATTTAAATCAACATGCTAAACGATAAAGGTGAACATTTCTCTCTGAAATGAAAATCTTTACAAAGCAATATCAAAAGCATAAACCAATTTCCAGTTACTACCAAAGACTGAAAGAATAATACATCACCTGATTATCGCACACATGCTAAAGATATTAACACTATCGGTTGAAGTATCTTAATTGTACATGTGAAAACCTCACTAATATGCATATAGAGTTGAAAAAGCTTTCTACATTTAGCTTTATCTGGTAAGTAAACCTTGTTTTAAGACATGGGTTTTGTAACTATGGTTAATAATTGAGGTCTTCAATTTTGGGGGACATATAGGATAAACATATTCCTTAGAAAGAGCAAAAATGTAAATCAAAATAGTAAAACCAAAATAATAAAATCAAAATAATATTATTTAGTTTGACTTATGGCTTCCTTGGACCCTTAAAACAATTTTCCTGAAAAAAAATCTGAAACAAAGTGAACTATGTCTTCTCAACATACATACTGATCTTTACCATGAATTAAATCCTTCCACTGTAACTGTACTTCTAAGGCAGACACTTCAGGAATGGTAGGTAATAAATCCTAATAGAAAAGATAAGATTCTATTCAATGAATAATAAGCCATTATTACTAAGATGTGATTAATTTTCAGTGTCTTTTTTATCCTGACACTTCACTGAGAGTACAGTGTAAATTCCAGGATATACAGCTGTTCATAAAGACTGAACTGATGTGCTGATTTTGGTTAGTTATTCCATAAATTCTTTCAGAGTTTATACATCATCAAATATTCTGCTGCGAGACATTGAGAGGTATCGTCCACCAGGCTGATACCTGAAAGGTGGATAAAGAAATGATCTGAGGCATCAAAAATAATAAAGGAAGAGAGAAAAACAAGGACACATTAAAAGGAAGTGGCTACATTATTTGTAAGCACTGTCAGAACTATTCAGTAGCTGAAAGCAGAAATTTCTTCTCCAAGGACATTTTCCCAAAGGGATTAACTTTAATTATAAATCAACCAACAACTAACTGTTCAGAGCCTGGAATACATGTATGACAAGGCAAGAGAAGTAAAAGGGATGGAGAGATGGAAAACACATCATGGAACTTAAAAGGTTTAACAACCACTCTTGATTGTTGAATACAAAGAGACTATTCTATTTTGTTGTTGTTGTTATTTAAAGGCAATACTATAGCAAATATCTTCATGCAGATGACATTTTGCTTTTGTTTAATTAAGTCTACATAGCATAATGGCTAAAAGCACGGACTCTGTAGCCAGAATCCTGAGATGTGAATTTCCGATTTTGCCATTTACAAACTATGTGACTCCAGGTAAGTTATGGAGCCTCTCTGGATTCAAATTCAGTTGGATTTACAACCATAAAATACAGTATCATTGTTAAAGAGCTTAGAATAGTGTCTGACACCCAGTCATAGCTATGTGGCTACTGCTAAATATGATAAATTGCAAAAGTGAGAGTGTTAGAAAGAGACATTAAGATATGTACTATCAATTTCAATTCTTCTTGCTTATCATACCACTAGTAGTTTATTAAGATATGTTTCAATTCCCACCACTGGATGATAACATTTTAAAAACAGAAAAGCATTAGAAGGTATAAAAAGGTATCAAATGTTGCTTAACATGCTTTTTATTAGTAGTAAAGATGAACACTTTCCTTACATTTATTTGTTTCATCAAGTCAGTGTGTTATCAAAATTTCAGACGAATACCGGAGCCAAAATGACACAGCTGGAACTTACCTTCCTGATTCAGATTCAAGAGGATCATCAGTAAATGCTTCTGCATTAAAATCCAAAGGTTCTGCATCTTGTAGGAGTTCTATTCGGTCCCTTTCAGTCCTATTATTAGCTCTGGTATATTTGGATGCTGCTGCAAAGGAAGAAAAAACTATGTTAACAAAAAAATGTTAACTTTTCTATTGTCTTTATGGGTCCAAGTCTATGGATTTATAGAAGGAAAAGTCAAGATTATAAAGGATCTGAATTTTGATTGTGAAGACAATATTAAGAAAAGATAACTACGTAGTTCCTTAAAATCATATTAAAATGATAAATGTATAATAGAAAATAACAAAGAAAAGTTTTCTCTTGTACTAGTCCAAGCTCAGAGGCAGCTATAGCGCAAAAACTTAATTTGAATCAGAATTAATATTTAACTATGATATCATAACAGTGAAATTTTTCATAATAAAATCAAGTTTCAGTTGGTTTCATAGTGAATCCAGGGGCTGCTACATCTCGTTTCTTGGCTAGGATTTTCTTTAAGGTGTACTCAACTCTAGCTCTCTGACAAAGGTCTGAATCTTTTATCCGTCAGGCAGGAGTAATGTCCAACAGAAATAAAATGCAAGCCCTACGTTTCCTTTTAAATTTTCTAGTAACTACATTAAAAAAGTAAAAAGACATGGGTGAAATTAATTTTAATATATTTAATTTAACCCAATATATCCAAAATATTATCATTTCAACTTGGAACACCAGCCACACTGCAAATGCTCAGACACCACATGTGGCTAATAGTCACCATCCTGGTCAGCCCAGATCTAAAGCACTAACTCTCCCTTCCTCTCGTGGACGGGGTTTTCTTCATAAACAATCTAAATTTTTACAATGTGGTTCTGAGCAGTTCAATAGGTTCAAAACAACTTTATGATATAGTTCTTTTTGAAAACTCAAGGCAAACCAATTCCATCATATCTTACATTTTTCTCATCCGGGACTACATCCTTCACCTTTTATCTCATTCATTCAGCAAATATGGGTTGCCTACCACATGCCAGGTTCTAGCTAACTCACCATCCCAAGGCTTTGTGTGTCCTCTTCTCTTAAAATTCTACCACACTCCCAGATCTTCTCATTCTGTTAACTCCTTTTCCATGATAACCAAATTCCAAATCTTTTTATAAAATCCTCCATTTCCTGGTTTTAACTAATCTTTAGCTTTCTCCTATTTCTTCCACCCTAAATGTCATTCAAAGGCATCCTTTCTTCTTTATCTCCAGGGTCGCCACTCATTTCAGGCTGTCGTCATTTCTTGACTGCATTACCAAAACAGATACTCAACTGGTTTCTGTGTCTCACTTCTCTGGAAATCAGCTCTATATGGCTGTCAAAATCTTTCTAAATCAAAAACCTGTGCATGCTTCTTCCCAGTTTGAAATCTTATCTTTGGGATAAATTTTAAACATCTGAGCACAATAATATCTGTTTCCCAATTATACCTGTAGCCTCCTCTCTTCTCAGGCTCCTCATGCTTTAGGCTGTAATCATGGAGAAAAACTTGCATTTCCCCAAAGGTTATCTCATATCACTCATCCTGCCTTCTGCCTAAAACACTTTCACCTGCTAAGTACTATTTATTCCTAAATACTCAGTTAAGTATTTATCATGGAACTCCTTTTCCAATAAATTACTGCTTTTCCATCCCCTAAGTTGAGTTCTCTCAACATCAGGTGTGTACCCTTCTACTCTCTCAGCATTC